GCTGGAATTCCCATCAGCTGCTTGTAAACACTGGTCATCTTTCCCACTGCCATGTTTTTTCACTCTTCCCTGCAGGGAGAGCCTGATGATAGTGAGATTGCCACAGGACCAGAGAGGAGATTTCCTGGAAACAAGCCTGGCCACACAATTATGTTTCATAATGAAATGGACCAAGAAAGGGCTCACAGAAGGATTTACACAGTAGCTCACTGCTTGTTAAACTAAGCACTTGTGGGTGGTTCATTGCAGAGCACTTAATCTGTTGTAAATGCAATACAATTTTAAACAACTTCATTTTAATACCACATCTCTCACAACATTACTGTACCTGTTCAATGAACCTGCACTCTGTTATGAGGTGATGCTGATCCAGGACTGCACATTCCTAACAGGATGATCCTTAGAAACTTCTGCCTGCTCCTGTCGTAGCCCACAGAAGGACATTTCTGACTCTCAGCACACAGATCACCCCACAGAGCTGAGGAATAGGGAACACTTTGGTGGGAACAGGTTTTAAGTGGGTCACTGGAAATTGAACATCTGCTTCAACACGATATAACTGCGTCTCCCTAATTCAAAATCAAACTGGACAAACCAGGAGGAAACCTGTCTGAAACCAGTCCTGCTGACTCCTGGCAGTCACTGGCAGCAGCCCTCTTCCCTGTGGGCTCCAGCTGTTTGCAGTGCTGCACATGGTGATCCTGAGCAGAGCCACTGACTGCTCCACAAGCTCCAACATGGAGCAGCTCGCTGGCCACAAACTCCCTTTGCATCCCACTCACACTTTTAACACCCCAAGCAGCACCCAAAGATCTTTCTTGCCTCAGACTTAAGAGATATAAAGGCAACAGTGATAATTATTGCTTTGGCTGCATTTATTCCAAGCCTGATTGCACCCAGGGATGATTCTGCACTATTCTCCTTGTCCTATCAAAGGCTCTTCCCAGATATTTCCATGTTTAGTGCAATACAGAGAGCTCAAGATGCATTTCATGGTAACAGAAGAACCAAAATGGCCTTTTCCTGCCACATTTCTGTGTGAGGTTGGAAAGATGTATTTATTACATGCTGAACCTCATGCACTTCAAGGCCAGGCTGGGCAGGGCCTGGAGCACCATGGGACAGTGGAAGGCGTCCCAGCCCATGGCAGGGAGTGGCACTGAGCTTTGAGGTCCTTCCAACCCAAACCCTTCTGGGATTCTGCAATTTCAAACAGTGTCAAACAGCTCAAAAGCAGAAACACTGTTAATACTGCCCCTCACTTCTCTGTTGAAGGAAAAGGTGTGGGTTTGTCCAAGACTGAATCATGCTTACAATTGGTCTGACAGTGCAGCGACCACAATTCGGAGTCTGATAATTTTTTTATTAATTTCCCAAACACTTCTATCTCTTATTCTAGGCCTGTTTAAAAAAGCCTTTCTGAAGAGGAGAAGTGCAATCCTCCTCTTAGTGACTAATGGAACCATGTCCTGTAGGTAGCAGGTGGCTTTAAGACACCCAACTTTGCCCTCAGTTTCTTTGACAGGGGTTGAGAGGGAATTTGTTTCCCTGATCATCATATGACTAAGTTTAAAGGAAATTTATCATTTGATTCAAGCAGAGCATTGCTATTTCCTCTATGGAAATGGAAACACTAAATCATACATTTTTCTCACATACCATATTTTTAAAGGTCTGCATTCTTTCATGTCTCAGGCTCAAACATTCCCACAGCTAAAGCTGAATATGAAAGTATTCAACTCTTAAAGCACTTCCATCTCCAGCAACCCAAAAGACACCCCAATTCTATTTGCAGCCTTGTTCATCCAATATAAATAATTCAGGCTGCTCACTGGAGATTTATTATCTTAATATGCTCATTTCACTGTTGGCCTTGGCAGACACATCCAGGTTTAGAGTGAAAGACAGCAAAACTTGACAAACCTTAAATCCCAGCGTTGCAGAATTCTATTAAGTAACAGATGGAAAATTTAATTAGCTGACAACTCAACCATCACATGCTTCATTAGGAGCCTCATTCCTCTCCCAGATTTTATCTTCAGGACAATGAAGGCTATTGTTTGCCTTGAACTGGCAAAAAACAAGGTGAGCTCATGACACCTGAAGAAGGAACAAGCCTGTATTCCTCTCTAAATTGGGTGCTGTGCTTGCACATCAGGTACTTCCAGCAGTAAACTGGCCTGAGAATGCTGGGTTCTGGATTTTTGGTGGTAAAAAGCTCAAGAAGTTTCCTCACTAGCCTCTCTCTGCAAGGAGAAGGAGTTAATCCAATCCTTGGTGGCAGGAGAAACCTGTTAAACCATCACAGAATAAAGAGATTTACACATACAGATACCAACAGCAATGGTAGCTTCCTCTTTAACTCCCACATAGTCGAACCCAGAGTTTCACTGCTTCTGCTTGCATTTGTAAAGAAATACTGAGAGATTGTGCATCTTGGTGATCTGCAGCACAGCTCTGCACTTCATGAGAAAATACTCAAAGCAAATGTAAACAGATGAAATGGCTTTTAACACTGAAATGGTTTGGTGAAATGTGTATCTTTTTATATAGGTCAAACCAATTTTCCTTTGGAAACCTCTTGCAAAAAAAAATTTTTCTAGGATTTGCAGCCTCTCTCTCCCTCCATGAGTTATTTATTGGTAGTTCACTCACTCTCCAGCTGTCAGACTCCAGCTCCTCAGCCCCTGACATGTCTCTAGCTCCTGTATAATTTTTGTGATAGTCTACATGACCAGCCATATTTACAGTCCATTTACAAACAGCTCATGATTAATAATTGCATCTTTTGAAAGCATTGTGCACTGATTTATTCATCTAACAGATGACTGCAGCAGAGGAACCCAATTAAAGCACAGAATGCCATATATCTATATATATCTATATATATATATATATATATATATCTGGCAAAATACAGGAACTTTTAAAGATAAAATTCCACGCACAGTGTTCTTCCTTTTCTGTATTAAGGCACCAAATTTATGAAAATATGAAGGAGTGGTGTGTTTTCCAATTGTAACTTTACAATGAACACTGAAATGCAGTCAATGCTGCTTATCAGAAATTTCACAGGTGAGCCTGAGAGCCAGCAGGCTCTACTGCAAACATTCAGCTCTCTGAAAAGACACTGATTTATAAAAAGCCTCTAAAAGATACTGCAGCCTTATCAGAAGCTCAGTTACCAGTTAACACCTCTAATACTGAAATACTTGGATTAGGACTTACAAGGTAGGTAATGAAATAGAACTTGGGAGTTAGAAAGTGACTTTAATCCCTTATAATGACATCTTAAAAGTATTTGGACACAAAACTTGCAACCACTCTTCAAGAAGTCACCACTGAACTCTCAGAGAAGCTGTTGACAAACCTTGTACTACTCACCCTTGAGACTCACTGTAGTTTCAGACACATTTTCATTTTAAATATGAAAAATACATCTTCTTGTCTTTTCAATAAACTACTCCAGTCCAACTTTTTGACAGCTAAGATCCATGTGAAGTGACAAGAAGTCAGTCAGCATTGTTCAACATAATTTTAATCTCCACTAAGGGGAAATTATAGAAACATGTTAACACAGACAGCAAATGTTTGGGGAAAGACCATATGGTGCTATGATGGGGGTTTAGTTCATAGAAATGTAATCTAGAATTTTATAAAAATTATATGAAAGAATAACAACATCTTTCAGTAATGTCAGACAGTATAGAAAAAATAAATCTCAACATTAGTCATACTCTGATGGTCCTTCTAGTAAGAATTTTAAAAGTGCTCTTTAATCCCAGTGTAGCAACTCAAGCTTAGTGCAATAGGTCAGATCTGGTTTAAAACAGGTATTTATAGCAGTTGTGCAATTCCTACAATGGACAAACCCCATGATCTAAACATAAACACTAAATGAGGTAAATATTAGAATTAGAATTAAACATTCCTTAAATAGGTTACACAACAACTGTACTACAAGGAAAATCCTGGTGCTTCCTCACAGGACAGCTCCAACCTAAACACAACATAAAACCTGTAGTACAAATCAGTGAAAGTTACAAAAGCTCTTGCAAAATATACAGTTTAGTAGTACATTTACAACCCACTGGTACAAACAGTACCTAATGCAAAATATACCAACCTGATCGAAGCCAAACTTCCCAGGTAGTGCACCTGAATTTGCTTTGAATACATTATTTTGTTCCCAAATCCTCCTAAAAGCTCCATATGAAGTTAGCACATTATCTCAATGTAGGAATGTCACTGCATTCCTCAATGAACAAGAAAAATGAAGGATTTGCTTACCAACTATGACTGCAACTAGAAGTACCATTGATCTCTGAGCAAGTGAAAAACCCAGCGCTAGTTGGGCAAAGATAATTTAAATCTACTCCTCACTGTTTTATACATGCCAAGCTGGCAGTAATAATGACAGCCTATATTTCTACATAGTTTTTTTGCAGGGTTGCTGAGAACTGTTAGATCAGCTTTCACTGGACTGTAGTTTCTCTGTGAGTTACAGTGCATGGGAACTACTGCCTGTCACATGCAGAGCTCATCTGGAACACCAGACTGGTAATGGTGAGCCCTTATGGCTCATTTGCATATGGAGCCAAAGGTATTTCATATTCTATTTCACAAGGTGTTTATGAGCAAGATTTAAGTCACTATCAACAACAGGAATAAAGTGAATTTACAAACATTCCTTCTAACTGTCTATGGCTTCAAAGCCATAAACAAACTGCCCTGGCTTTTACAGTATTGCACTTCCCTCTAGTGTTAAACTGACAGCTGAAGTCTGCACAGAACTCGTTTTATAACAGTATTTAAATTTAAAAAGCAATAAATAAAATGCAGTATTTAAAAAACCCCACAAAACAGTAGCTTTAGTCCATATTCCTCCCACCTCAGACCATGCTGCACCATCTGAAACAGGTCTGGGACAGTCTTTGGAAACCAACTGCATAGTTCATCCAACATAACAGACCCACCCCCCCACCCCACAGCCACACTTCTTTAATCAGAGAAGCAAATTAAGCTTTCTACAGCAACATTAGACACAAAGACAGTACCCTTGAGTGCATATCTCCATTAGTTTAAAAGGATGTGTTGCCTTAGCTCAAGATAAATTCAGCAGTTAGACAGAGTTACTCTGTATTGCCTCTGGGTTATGTGACCAACATTCAGTGCCCTGTCACTGCAGTGACAAGTTACTGAAGTCCTTGGCAGAGTCTCTGACCATCTGATCCAGGCTGGGACTCCCAAGAGCACAGGCTGGCTGCTGCCTGCCCAGGAGCCCCAGGCTGTGCAGGTTGAGGATGGAGTCGGCGATGATGCGCGCCGTCCTCTTCTGGTACCCCCCGGATGTCACCATCAGCACGGGCACCCCGCGGCTCCTGGCAGCCCTGAACACCACCTCGTCCCTCTTCACAATGCCCTGCAAGGTCACCACAGGGAAAAATAAGGGAGAGCAACAAGGTGCTTCAGTTCTAACCTGTGGTTTATGGATTTAGAGTATTGGATGCTTGCTAAGTGTTTAAGCCTTACAGTTTACTGTAACAATTAAAAATTCAGTCCTGTTAGCTGGTTTGCATGCCTAATCATTAAAAAAAACCCCAATCACACCCCCTCAAAACCCCCAGCAAATCAAATATCCTTGGCTTGTTTTAGAGGACACAGCAGATAAAATTTTTTAGTACAAATTCCTACAAGAATTCCGACTCAAAGGCCATAAAGCCTAAACTGATTGCAAATTTTACACCTATTTCCCAAGTGAGGAATTGAGACTAGGAAAGACTCTCTGAATTCACAATGCTTTAGTTTGTGCTCAACTTGCACAGCACCATCTGTCAAAAGTTTAGTAACTTGATCAAAATTTCACAATCTTACAGAAAAGCCCAAAATTCAAATCAAGTTTTACACATTCACAATCACTGGCTCAATCTTAAGTCCCAGTGTTTGCAATAAGAGCCTGTGGTTAATGCTACAAGAATCTATGGCTGAAGGGGAAGTTGCAGAATGTAAGCAATGGTAAGTCCATAAAAAGAAAAAAATTCTTTGTATTCTTACTAAGAGAAGGGTATGGAATTGAAAAATAGCAAAGATTGAAAAACAGCAAGGATTGCTGACCAAGAGGTGGTGGACTGTCATTGAACCCAGGCAAGAGCAAAATGTGAGTCTTCTGGGTTTCAAATAAGCACATGAGAGTCAAAAATACTTCAGGAATGAGTGAGAACAGAATTAAAAATCTACTTTTGTAAAAGCAGAGTTCCAGATACATGCAATTCATTAGAACTCCTCAAAAAAAAAAAAAAAGCAACACACAACAGCTTACAATGGACAGCTCGAAACTTAAATAACTGCAAAGCTGGTGAAGGGAAAAGGCATCACAATGCAATCAAATGCAAAAATCCAAGAAGCAGCAGCAGAAGTGTTTCAAAATGAACATGCACTGCCCAGGCTGGTTACAGGAAGAGTGGAAGAACATCAGGAAATAGCACCCTGCCATTAATTAGACCACAAACAGATGGTAAAGGGAAAGAATAAAACACAAATGTAGCAAAAAAAAAGTATCTTGTAAAACCATCCAAGAATATTGTTCACTGCACGGTCTGACACAGCCCTGGGAAAGAACCAGGAATAACAAATGAACAGTAAGACAAAGGAAACTGAAGAATTCTATTAGAAACAGACCCTTAAAGGAAGCAACAGAATTACAGAAGGAGCTGCAGGGCCCTGGGGACCCAGCAGAGGATGCATCACTATTATCCCACACCAGAACTGGAAGCAACCCCTGCTCTCAGGAGCCTCACTGCTCCAGCAGCTCCAGGGAGTCTGCAGGAGCTGAGGGGAAAACATGGGCTTATTCCCACATTTCTGTGGAAAACAACAGCCTGGCACAGCTCCCACTTCCAAACAAAGGGAAGAGGGACTCAGCTGATGCACCACAGGCTTTTTTACAGCCTCATGAACCAGGAAACCATCACTCAGAGCACTCTGAGAGCCCCATTCTGGGCACAACTAACACTGCAGCAGGAGCTTAAAATACAAATGACATCTTCAGGAGCAGAAGTGGAGCCTGCACTAAGGACCTTTGAAGAGAGGGCCTGTGCAGGCCCGTGCCTTTCCAGCACTGGGATTTCAAGTCTGCACACCAGAGACAAGAACTCTGCCCTCAGAGCAGACAGTAAAGGCTTGAGCTCCCTCCAGTGTGCAGAGAATTCCTTTCACCCCTCCTCGTGGCCAGGGAAGCTGCTTCACCTTTCTTCCCCCAGCCTCACATCCTGTGTCTGCACAGAACCCAGGAAGCTACAGCAACTCCTTTTTCTTGGCAGTGAACACTGCTCCTAATCAAAGTGCAGAAATTTGAGGGTTTTTTAAGAGGCAAATCCAAAGTATCTCCCTGTGACCAAGCTGTCACTTCCCTTGGTTGCCACTGCTCTCCAGAGGGCTCTGCTTCACCAAACCCCACCTCACACCTCAGGCCATCTCCTCTCCAAGGTCCCAACCAAGTCCAAGCCCCTCAGCTCTTCCTTCGTGCAAGAGAACGGAACAGAATTAAAACTGAACAGACCAAGTGGTGGCTCAAAGAGGGGAATCAGAGAGCTCACAGATCAAACAGGCACTTTTCTGTATTGATCTGGTGGTCATTAAAGAGACCTAAATGTGAAACAGGAGAGAGATAGCACAGAGGAACTGTCAAGAGAAGGAATCACAAAAACCCATGAAGGAAATCAGAGGACTGTAAATTTTTGCTTATTTTAAGAAAAGCAGAAAGGTGAAGACTTCTATGAAACTTTACAGAATAAACCAAAATTTGAGTCTGGTAGCAAACTGGGGAAAGCAAATGGTATCTAAAGAAAAAGATGGTATCTGAAGAAAAAGATTAAGAAAAGGAAAGTAACTTCATTTGCTGAGAATGTTTGCACAGCCAGGCTGCACAAAATTGTTATAACCATGAGGATAGGTTAAAACAGCTGGGAGTGCTACAAAAGAAATTAGATGTAAGATACACACTGGGGGCAGGTGACAAAAGAAATACATTGCAAAATGGGTCATGTAAGGGGAAAAAAGAACCAAAGAAAGAACAAACCAAGCAGGGAAAATAGAAGTCAGGTGAAGTGTGAAAATATATGTATCTCTCTGGTTACTTTTTGGGTGTTGGCAATCAGTGTATTTTAGAGAGAAGATGAATGGCACTGGAACAGGCACCAGAGGAACAAAAATATTCAGAGTGAGGAGAGGGAAGAAGGAAGAGAAGGGTGAAGGGCAAGGGGGATGTGTGTCTGTGACAGGGCAGTGCTGCTGCAGGCTCACACACCTGGGGGGAAATGGCCAGGCCTCCCAGGGGGTCCCCATCCAGAATGTCAGTGCCAGCATTGTAAACAATGATGTCAGGCTTGAATTCATTCAGGGCTCCCTCCACGTGGGTCTGCACCTTCTGCAGGTACTCGGTGTCCTCTGTGCCCCACTCCAGTTCCACCTTGCGTTTTATGGCACCTGAGGGACAGCAAAGCAAGCACTGCTCAATAAACAAAGCATTGCTTTGAAAGAAAATGCACAATTTAGGTAAGCAGGCAAAAAAAAATTACATTTCTGGAAGCTCTCTCAATACATTGCATTTTCACAGAAACATGAATTAAAGAAAACTATTCAACTGCTTGTTTTCTCAGCAAATGTAAAGCACAATGACCTTGAAAAAATTCCACTGAAGAGAGAAAATTAGATGCAGGACAAAAAAATATAATCTGAGATGCAAATGGAAAATGTTATTGAAAAACAGCTGATCTGCAAGTCCAGTTACCAATCAGCAGAGAAATCATAAAGAAAATTATTGACTTAAAAGTAACTTAAATAAGGTGTAAGGCAAAGAAAACACTGAGCTGCTATTGCAGAGGAAACAGCTGGGGGAAAAACAAGATAAATATCACTGAGAAATTATGAAGATGTTTTATTTTTATCACAACACTCAAAACTTCACAGCAAGGGATCATGAATTTATGTGAACTGCTTTATGAATGTATAACAAGATTCAGCTTTGCCCCAAGCATTTTCAATTTAATGTTCTTACCCTGTAATCCTACCAGAAGAGCAAATGTCAATTCTTAATTCAAATCAAATTATTTCTAATGCTTCTAATAAAGCAATAGAAGTAGAAAATGAAGGCTGAGAAGGTAAAGGAAAGAAACCCAAGGTTATGCAGCTGAATTTTGGGTGCTTTTATGGAGGGATGTGGGACTGAATTAATCAAAGCCATGCCAGAGCTGTTCCAAGGCATGACTTCTTCCTCACACTAAATGATGTGGAGTCTCACATCTTAAATATGGATTCAGCCCCCACCAAGTGTGCAAGAATGTCCTCAACACAGAATGACAACTCCTCTTGTGATTGCTGCCTTTTGTTCTGTTTTTCATCTTTGTTCAACATCAGTGAAGCTTTTCTTTTTCATCCTGTTATTTTATATTGCATCAACATTGGTTTCAAAGATTTTTGCTTCTTTATGGTTTCTCAGAGTTTCAGCCTTTCCTGCTTACTCTTCAGTGAACCAGTGCTATTCCTCATCCCTCTTTCTCCTCCTAAGCCTGTGTAATTCCACAGTGCTTTGCCAGGGACTCAATATGCTTGTGCCTTAACATTGGCAAGCTGAGCTGCTCCCTTTTCTCCCCTCCCTACTGAAGCCCATGGGGCAAAAAATGTGTTGAAGAGGTTCCTGCAATAAAACCTGGAAGAAACAGGCAGGAAGTGCAAGGAGACCGTGATCAACTGGAGTTTACCCTAAGGATTCAAAATCTCGTGTTCAAGCCTCTGCCCCTCTGCAAGGAGATTCCCCCTGTGATCCCATCTCTGCCTGGTCACCTATTGGAAAGGGTTTAAGGGACCTGGCCACAAAAATCCTATTTAGACATTCTTATGCAAAGTGCAAGGAGCTACATATTCACTGGCTCTGGCCCAGCCCTGTGCACCTCATCCTTCATCTGCAGAAAAGGAATGCTGGAATTCAGTGTGGTACTGCAGCTCAGTGCTTCTGACTTGCTAACAAGGACTGACTCTGTTTTGGTCTTAATCCATCTGTTCAAATGCTGCCATGTGATACATGAATAAAAGGATGCTTTTCTTGGGGGAAACCCCCCCCATATTTGCTTGCCATTTGTCTGCCTCCAGACATGGTGTGCTTTAAATGGTAACGTTTTAGTTTAAAACCTTGAAGTAGTACAATTCTTAGTATCTTTACTAGTCAAAAGACACAGTGAAATGCACTGCACCTAACTCTTGTCAAGAATCTAAATGAAGTAGGTTTTTCAGAACAGCATCACTGAAGGAATCCAACAGCAGAACAACTCCCCCAGCAACCCCTGACTCAGTGAACAAATTGAGCTTGTAGTAAATGACAGTGTAACAGAATCAAAGACCAAATAAACATGGGGCTTTTGCATTCCAATTTAACCATTATCAAAGCCCCAGTAATTAATTGTGGCAGGCCACAAGACACAACAGACACAACACAGCAGGGATAAACAAACCACAACTAAACCAAATCAAGCACCAGCTCTTAACATGGGGATGACAGGGAAGGGGGAAGTCCCCATATTAACAGCATGGATGTGGCATTTAGGGACACTGGTCACGGGTGGCAGTGCTGGAGGAATGGTTGGACTCAACCTCAAAAGGACTTTCCAGCTTTAAATTCTATGGTTCTGTTCCAGGACTTGCTTTGCTTCCCACCTTGTGCCACGTTCAGATGCAGACTGTTTCCTTCGTGCTTATCTAACAAATTCTACTGGCAAGGCAACACCTGAATATGTTATAACTTCACTCTCAAAAGAACATGAAACCTTTTTACTCACTATCAGCTAATCCTCTCATAAATGTAATATAAGAGAAAGATGAAGTTCTAACAACTCTCTTCAAATGAAAGGATTATTCAGCTTGCTGCTCCAAGCTCTGGAATGGATTGCCAGTAACATCGACTGACACCTCCCCACACCCTGCACTCCAAAATGTCATTCCTGAAGTGAGGGAAAACACTACAGCAGAACACTATTATGATACATCACAGTGAGCAGTGAAAATGATGTGAAATTAAAAATAATAATAAAAAAAAGAAATCTAGGTAACAGTGTTGCAAGGAAGCTTTGCAGTACATAAAGAAGTTAGGTAACAACACAGTAGGTCTGGAACATTTGGGAAGATGAATTTCAGTTATACTCACGTTTAGCAAAACCATCCCCTGGGTAAATATATCTATTGTATGCATCCATAATATAAACCCGAGGATCATCCATAAAGTCTCTCTCGTGGCCATTTCCCTGCAGGAAATTTACAGTTAGCTATTCCTAGCATGGCAACACAGAATTAAATACACTGTAAATTCTAGAGTTATTAACACTACAGAGGTTCTAATATTCATAATTCCTGTGTCATTCTCTTATTTATAGTCCTGGAGATTATTTTGAGGTGTGCAGTTTTGGGGGGCTTGATGGGATCAGTCTGAAGACTGCAGGTATTACCACAAATAAAATCCTTGTCTCTCTGAAGGTAATTTGCATGGATCTCATTACACATGTAAGAAAAATAAGCAAAAATCAGAAGCTAATTGTCCTCAAGAGCATAACAAAAGCAACTGTGACTACAAAACAGATCTCTCATCTTCCAAATGTGCAAGAAAAAGTCACTTTCAACTGCTGCAGGAATACTGAGTATTCTTATGTAAGAATTAATGAATAAATAAAGCAGACTACAGCTCTCCTGATAACTCAAGCCTTGGTGAGGTAAGCATTCCCTGGAAAAATTACAAACAATAACAACCCAACAGTACTGTACTGTGTGTGAAGAGGGATGCTCGAGAGAAAACTCAGGTTTGGAATAGTCCCCCCTCCCCATTTCTGAATTTAAATACTATTCTTTTGGCTCTCACTTATTTTCACTAATATATAAATCATTTTTTACCACAGCAATCACTAAGATAATTTTATTTAAATCTGTGTATCATAGAGGACCACAGCCCCTCTCCCTAGAATTTCACTTAAAGTACAGAAACAGACATTTCCATAGATACAGCTGCTGTAATTCAGTTTTCATGCTGACAAATGGCAACTCTATTTATTTCTTCAGCATCTTTGGTCCACAAATGAACAGTTCATGCACACAAGCCTAGGAATATGAAAGCCTAGGAATATGGGGGAACCATTTCCTTATGAGAGGTGAAACTCAGCACTGCACTAAGAATTGGAACAGTCACAAGATGAGAGTATCTGCATCCTTAAACAGGATCTGCTGAGCTACTTCAGATACCTCTCATTCCCCAAAGAAAGGAAACAATAGGTGTTTTAATGTGCACACTGAGACTACCAGCACATCTGAAAACCAAAATACATTTCAAGAGTTTTTCAAAACCAAACCACCCCCACATAGCAAAAAACAAATCCACAGCCTGACAGAGAGGCTGAAGAGAACCATGAACACCAAACATCTTTCTGCTGCACCATCTGTGTCCTGTTATCATGGTGATTTTAGGACACATAAGAGAAATGAGACAAGATTAAAAACTTGCAGCCATTAGGCTTCCTCAGTGCCACAGAACTGTGTAAAAATGGTTTCTTTAGACATAATAAATCACCTGAAATGCCTCAGGTTGGACATCACTTTGGTGCATTAACTGCCTTTCTAAAAATACCATCTCTGGCCCCTCAGGATTTATTTTGCAAATCCCACCAAAGCTGAGATTTGATCTCAGTACCACAGTAAATGACTCCACCAGGTGAAGAGGGATGGATCCTTTACTTCATTAGCTTGAAGCTAGGCTTAAAATTAAACCACTGAAGGTCAAATCCCTCCCCTGCAGAGGCTGCTGCAGTGACCAGGCGTTAGGAACCAGCTGGGATTGTGTCTGGAGAGATCCTTGTTTCTCACAGGAGTGCAACACAGCAAGGTTTTTCATGCAGCCACATGATGGAGCTGCAACTCAGGTTAATTTTATTAAACTGGCTTAAGAGCCTTTTGGGCCATAAAATAACTGAAGAATCAACTCTTCACAGTTTTTCATTATCTCTGATTAACTCTGTATTCTGTGATTTTATGTTTGTATTAAAAAAATGTATTTATCACACACTTTTATTTTAAGCAAAACATCCACAGCACCGAATACAGGTAAACTACTCACCTGATGGGCATCCAGATCAATAATTGTGGCTCTAGACACTCCTTGTACTCTCTCAAATAAGAACTGGATATATAAGCAAGAAAAAAACATGGAAAAATTTATGAAGTTAGGCGACAGATTGAACTGGAAGCTCTAAGATTGCACAGTCCCGTGACTGTTGGAATTTGAATGTTGGGCACATCTATTTCTTTCAGTCACCAAATAAATTGAGACATGATTCTCATACATTTAATGTAAACATCTCATTATTAGACTTAAAAGGTAATTTTTGTTAAAATGAAAACCCTATACATTTCCACCAGATAAAAGGAGGAGGCCAGGCCCACTGAGGGATCACAGAGCTGATGGTGACAGCATCCAACTGCAACAGCCTAAAATTCAGTGTTTAGGAAAAGCTGCTGTAAGGACTGTGTGCCTTAGAGCCACTTTTAGTGACAGAATTAATTTCTTATTCTGTCTGGGAAGAAAAAAATGGCTTTTACTTCTCTGAGTCTTAACTTTGCTGCTAAGTTACCATCTTTAATATAGACATAGTAAAACCCAAAGATTTTGTACAAACTGTCACCCATTATAATTTCTCAATCTGTGTTTTAATGGTAAGTGAAAAAAGAACACTGTGGATGACTTTTCTACAAATTGCCATGCACAGAAATTAGGATGTTATGTCACATGGGGTGCTGCAATCATTAGAGCTCTTTAGTGTTTGATTATTACTGATATTTTATAAATATTCTAGTATACAAATATACCATAGCTCATTTGATAAAAATAAGCCCTAATTGCAGAAGGCTCTTACTTCAGTCATTCAACAGCTAAATACCAAATGCATTCATTCCCATTTGGTGACTATTCTGGAGTCATTCACATTTTTATTCATGAATCTGAACCAGTCTGAGCCCCGTACAGTGCAGTGTGATTCAGAAAGGGGATTTTTGTCTCTGCATTTGTCTTGACTGTCACCACTGAAATCAATGTGGAATGCTCAGCTTCACCTGCAAGGCCAGGAGAATTATCACTGAGGATATTAGAAATCCATCTGGTTTGATTTGGAGTGGTTTTTGCAAGACAACATTATCAATGCAATTACAGTGATGCCTATTTACATTGATAATTCTGACCCCTGAAACTCTTCCCTTCCACTTTGCAACTCTCCATATCCCCATTCCCGCCCATCTGGAAATAGCTTCATTTTCTCCTATTAAGGTGTAAATTAGTTCTTAGGAATTCACAAGGATTTCTCCTCCATTTGCAGAAACAGCACAAGGCAGTGGTTTAAGAGCAGTTCTTACCTTGATGGCCAGTGTGATGTCAGCATATGCACAAAATCCTCCCCCTTTGTCACTGGAGCAGTGATGGAAACCACCCCCTGAACAGAAAAGTTGAAGGGATGAAAAGCTACAAACTAAACAAAAGCCAGATACTAAAAACATTGATGAGCTTTGCAAAGAGATGTAAATGAAAACATTCAGATGCTCTTAATACACTCTTCAGGGTATCACCGAATTTGTACTCACCCACGTTGATGGCCCAGCCTCTCTCCACAGCAAGCTTTCCTGCCTTAAAAAAAAATACAGTTGGAATTCCATAAACAAATGAGGCAACAGTTAATTTCTGCTTCCACCCCAAATCACTCCTGGCATTCCAACAGGCCCGTGCAATTTTCAGATCTTTTGCCACTAAACCAGATCCCCGAGTACAACCCTTAACAAAAATACCCTCAGCATCAGGAGCTGAAAGAGTATTTGCTATTCATCTATATATCCTCCTCTGGCAACTGGGAAAGGGAAAGTGCAGTGCTGGGAAAAGTAAAATATGACAAAGAAGCTCCTGATGTCCTTCCTGTTCATGCAGTGATAGAGGAATGTAAGCTCAAAATCCTGGAACACAGACATAGAAAACCATAGTTCCAGCTGGGTATGGGACCAGACAAGTGCTCCAGTGTGAAGTGTCCTGGTACTATTTCTACTTCTTATAGGACAGAACATGCAGGGTATAGATTCTTATTGCTCTTTTCCCATCCAGTACAAGAAAACTGTGCCTGTATCTCTCCTTTGAACTCAAGTGACATTCAGGGAGGGGAAAGTATTGAGAGAAAAGAGATACACAAGGCTTGAATGATGGAATTTTAACTGAAAATCCTGATTATTTTGGCCAGGAAAAGCCATACAAGCATTTAAGTGCAGCATTGCTTAACTGGTCTGTTAAAAGTAATATTACTTTAAGATATTCCTAGTTACAAGCAAAAGAAAAAACAGGGAGAGAAAACATTTAAAAATCAATTATTTTTTGTCTGTAATCATGGAAAGAAAAAATTACACATCATATCCAAAATGAAGTTTGGACAGTTATGAAATCTTTATAACCAATATTTACATTTGAGCGGTTTTAATTCAGTACTAGGACAACTACTGGCATGGTAAACATGATCCTGCTATGATCATGCCAACTTACACAAATTAGATCTTAGGGGAAGATTGCAGTTTCTGAACTATAAAACCCATTAAGTCCCAGGGAGAACACATTATCTGCAATTTATCACACTTCCTAGGGATTCCTCACCAAAACCCAATCTTCCCATATTGCTAAAATATCATTAAAAAGTAGAGAAACTCAACAGGAATTTTTGTAATAAACAGGCCTATCAGGAATAGCAGAAAATTGCACTTCTGACTTGTACCGTACAAATTTTATTGTCTGATGAATAAAAATTGCATTTAAAGTACATTCCTATTTCCCCATAATGAAAAAAAAAAAAAAAAAGAAAAAAGGTAAAAATAACAGCACATGGCCTCAAGATGAATCCCAAAGTGCCCAGGAGTGGCATCTGTGTTTCAGAAGCCATGAGAAAAACCAGACCATTGGTAGGTGCCTCCTCTACCTGAGCACTTCTCTAACTGGTGAACACACACCTGGGAGTTAAAGATAGCACAAGCACAGTGAAAAACATAAGCAAAGCAGAGCCAAGTACTGCCTAGCTGGAACCAAGCAAAAGAGGCTTCACACACTGAGCTTTTGTCAAGAATATCCAAGGCAAAGCATCAGGAAGCTCTAAACTCTTCCCAAGTTCCTCTCTCAGACCACTGCCTTCATTCCTGTGACAATCTTGCAGTGACAGCATGGCTGTAATGACAGGAAACTCTGCAGGTCCCTGCTCAGCAGGACCTCCTCTGAGTGACAACCAAATATTTTTAAGCACCTTGAACTACATGGAATTCTTTCTCCCTCCTCCTCCCCATCTCTGCTTTTGCCAGTTCATGCCTTCTGGAGGAGGCAGCACTTTTGTTACCTGGCCTATAACCATAATCCAATACAGCTGAAGATTTATCCAGAGCCCAGCAGGTTCTTTCAGAATTCAAATCCTTAAATAGTCCTAAAAAAAGTTGGTTTAACTTTTGTATTTCCCAGCCTAACTCACCTTGGACATCTGGGAGTTGCAATAAACCCTGTTCCTGTATTCTGGCACGGCAGCACTGTCCAAGGCTGACAATCTCAGTTACAGAATCACCACAACTCCCAGGTTTACAGCATTTGATGAACAAATTTAAACATGATAAAAGTGCATCAAGAGCTCCTTACCATTATTGTTCCTCCTGTCTGGGTTCGTAGAGGTTTCAGAACTTTTCTCTGAACAATGAAATTGGGAAGAAAGGCAACTGGTGGAATTTCTGTGATTGTAGCCACAACAAATGACCACTGCAAAGGGGAAAAAGAGAGTTCCAATTAATGTATTGTGGTTGGATGATGACACTCAGCTCTCTCATTAGTTGTTATTTATTGAAAAGGTGCTCACAGATCCTTAGGAAAAGTTTTATTATTTTTAGATGGAAGTGACCACAGAAGTTCTTATTAGTGACCTCTAAATAGGTTCATCCTCAAGTTTTTAACTATGAGAATCATCACTTTCCAGATTTTAGTATCAAAATGTATCAAATCAGCAATTTTTCAGGAAGGCAGTATTTCAGAAAATATAATATCCTTCAAATTGGGAGGAAGAATTGTAAAATGCCCTTCGGCTACACTTGATATATTGTTCAAACCTAAAATATCCATTCCTGTGTGGAATCAAAAGGATATACCAAGGAGAAAGCAAACACAAACAAACAGACAACTGAACTAAGAAGTTCAAACACTTAAGTGAACACACAGTACAAACTTTAGCATAGAGAACTGATTAAAATTTATTTAGCATATTAAACACTTCTGGAAAATGTTTCAATGAAACAGTTTGTTCAAAAGTCTTCAAGGTTAGAACACAAAATATTTGCAATATGCAAATGCTTTTTTTTTGCAAACACATTGATTACTTCAAAGAACTTCCACTAACACTGCTACTAGTGATAACACTGCTAAATATATTTCAAAGCCTAAGTCACAAGCAAGAATATACCTGTCCAACCAGTACTGACACACTGAGGGACTGAGGATTAGGACTTGCCACCATGTACAAAGAGTCTGAGCAGATCCTATTTTCTGCAGCATTAGGAACTGTAAGGAGACTGAGGGCACTGGCTGCCCCATTCCTGAGCTCCTCACAGCTGGCAGCATGCACAGGTGGGCAATCTGAACCAAAGGCAATCACATCCCCATCTCAGGGTCCTCTGATGCTCAAAATAACTTTCCAGTTAGCAACATTTCAATTACCAGGTACTACTGGATGGGTGAAGGGGTGGCATTGTTCATGCAGTGCCTAAGTCCTAACTATATTTTACCAACAGCTAATTTCAAAATCTCTCTACTTTTGTATTTGTAAGACATTATTCTGTTACCATCTTATCAGCTGTCCATCACAAGGTGCTTTAATTATTTTTTAGTACAGTCAATCTTGATAAAGCCCCTTTGCAAGACATTTTAGCTTTTGAACAAACACATTATTAAAAACTATACTCAATCCTGTTGTTCTAAAATGGAAATGAAAAGGTCACATTTGGAGAAAAAATAAATTTTACCTCAAATGTGAACGATAATCACACAGAAAGTTTTAACAAAGTTTAAAGTAAGATTAATGTCAACAGAGAGAAGTGGGAGCAATCATGACTCAAACCAGCAATTATGCAGCTGCAGGTTTTTAGGTGGAGGTGAGAAGTCCAGGTGTGGTGGGAGTTTTGGCTCCCAGGCTTGCTGCTCACAGCTGGGGCCATTCCTGCTGCCACTCAGTGCCCACACCTGGGCCTGAACTGGGATTAGTAATTCCCAGCACAGGGGGGCAGTCACCAACTGGGAGCAAAGTCTGGGGGTTCAAGAAGGCAGCTACAGGTGAAGGAAAACGCTTCTCCACTTAGTAACTGAAAATCTGTGGAATGTTTTATGCTTTTTTCTTCAGTGTGCTGGTTCTGTTTTCCAGCATTCACCACAACAAATTCCCAGACCAGCTTTATCCTCAGCATTAGCATTTCAGTGTTTGCTCACGTTTGTTACCATAGAACTTCTCATGAAAAAAAGGGAAAAGCACAGTCAGAAACTGGCTCTAACCTCATTGCCTACCTCCTTCCCAAAGGTCAGAATGCTGACATGCAAGAAATTCATTATTTTACATAACACTAGAAGAAGACAGCGAGTGGAAAAGTACTGCAAGCAAACTCCCCACAGTCCAGTCATTACCTTGGAGATCTAAATTCTTCAGAGGAATAACTGAGGGGGAATTGCCTCTATTCAAAAGGCCAGACTTTGTTGTGAGGACTCGGCAGGGAAACAGGGAGACCCTTCCTGCTAACACAGACCTAATTTCCTTTTTGTTTCTCTTCTGCCAATGCTCAGCTGCCCTTTCAGCTGCTGCTAAGACACCAATCATCACCTACTCTTGCAAGTGTAGGCAATTTCCTAGCAAATTCATGTTCAGATTTTAAATGAACACTCAAGTGATCCATTATTTTAGGAGACCTGGGCATTCTGAAAAAGACAAGCAACTTTGTGGCCTTTCCAGCTAATTTAATGTAAAACTATACCATTTATACCTATTTGTCTGGATTTAAAAGAAAAATAGCACAGTAGACTTTGGATGAGGCAATAAAGAGCTTTCACAGGGCTTTTTCATGTCTAGGACATTATTTTGCTTTTGCAACTAAGCACTTTTATCCTTGCTACTTGGCAGGAATCTGCTGGTGCAACCACTACAACACCTTCCAGTTCCTACACTTGCAGGAAATATTCTCTCAAGAATAGGGGGAGAGGAGACACCCAGTTAATCCCATCTGGATACACACAACAGTGCTGGTCTTGGCCACAAGACCCAAGTTCTACAAGTGAAACCATCCCATAGGTACTAAAAATATTATTATGGCATTCCAATCTGAGCTATGCACATTAAACCCTGCTTCAAAGAAGTGATTCAGGAAAAAGAGGTGGGTGGTTCTATGGAATTAAAAGTTCAATATCCAGAATAACTGCAATAATATCAAATCTAATGATGCATGAAATTGCATGTAACTTCATAGCACAGAATGAAGAAGCGTAAGAGAACTCAGGAAAGCAGTTAAGAGTGAAAAAGTTCACACAAATAACAGATCATTTATACAGAAAAAATAAAACATTCCAGAAATAGCAATCTGAGGACTCTTCCACTGTGGAAGGGCATGGGTGACTCAAAATAACTTCTTTTGAATTATGAAATGGAAGATTTCTTTTTTCTTACAAATCCCTTTTCTGCCCTCCAAGCAGAGTTGCCAAGTAAAAGTAATGTCACCTGCACTCATCTATTACCCAATTCCACCCACAGACGACTGGGTAGATTCAGAACCAGAAATCTCACATGTTTATGCTTTAGAGTTCCACTGAAGTTAAACAAACTCATGTTTCCTTTAGAAATATACAGGGAATGTTCTTCATCCCCTCTGTGGTCCTGTGTGAGCTGGCTCTGGAAACCTTCACAACAGATAATGTGCTTAGTTATGCCCTTACGTTGATCTTTCAACTCTCTCCATATTCCACTGATACAGGCAGTGTCTGACTATGAAATGAGTGCTTCCCCCCAACAGACTGACCACAGAACCCCTACACACATGCTCTGTCAAGATTACATAACCCCAAACCCCATAAAGCAATCCCTGCATTAGAAAACATCCAACAAAGTACCCTCATGTTAGTACTTTCTATTGTATTTTCAATTGCAGAACCATATTTTATCAGAGTACAACAAAACTTACATTGCTCAACACTAAAACCCTGGAACTGATGAGAATATTACTGACATCTCAGACATTCTAATTGTGCCTATGTTTAATTTCCCTGAAATATCTTTCCAGATCACCTATTTCATATGGTAGACCCTCCCTCCCCTCTTTTACCCCTCTGTAGTGTGAAGTGCCCAATATTTCTGTGGTTTTCCTTCAGTAATCTCAGTAACAATGTAATCATGGTGACTCACAGATACCATTGTATACCTGTAAGGCTGATTTAAAACAACTGTACAAGACATTCCCTGCCTTTGACACTCACTCTGGACAGTTTGCTGGAAAAACATGAGCAGGTACAGCACCTTTAATTTATTAAGGTAGCGCCTGGTGTGAACAACCAAGAGATCTTCATCAGTCGCCTCCCGTGCCTGCACAATCAAGTCATCTGCAATTAGTTTTTCTTCTGCAACAGGAGAGAAATAAAAATTGGCATTGTACAGCACTGCTTAGCTCCCCATGACCCCCTCCAAACACTCTGCTCTGACCTTGGTGTGGTAACTTCCTCTGTCATGTTTATTGCTGGAATGACTTTAGGTTGCTCAGAGTTTGCAAGTTTTTCCAAATACTCTATTACATGCAAGCTGTTCAGGTAGTGTGTGTTTGAGAAATATTGTATACAGGAAGTTTTCAGAGTGTGCTAAGATCATGGGGAGTTGAACTGAAAGGACAGACAGGTAATGACAGAGGACGAACACACACTGGAATCACACAACTCCTCACAGTTTAGGGCTTGGTGTACTGGGGAAATCTTGGTCCTGGTACCATCAAATAGCCACCATTATTTTAACATGCTTTAAGAAATCCCACAGTTTATACTAGGATTTAATCCCCAAAATCATAGAAGAATAAAGTAATAAATCAAAATTCAAAACAAAGTAATGGCTTGGATGTTCATGAAAGCAAACAAGCTTAATTAGGATATTTATAGCACCCCCCCTCAATCTAATTCCAAGAAAAATCAAAGAGCAGATATTCTTTCCCTTAGAGACCAAAAGATTATTTTAAAACTTTGTTTTATAAGAGCAAGTTACTCCAAGAATTCAGAATGAGTGCATATGATCACTACAAACAACAATTATAAGAAATCCTGCCGATCTTCCCAGGCAAATTTTGATATTTAATTGCTGCACAGCTGTAGCCTCCCAAGCCTGTATCTCTTCTTTAATTTTATACTTGGAGGAGAAAAAAACAACTCCAAAAAGCGAGAGATTTTGCTCTGAAGTGTTATACAAGAACAGCACCTGCGACAACATTTGTTTTGGCAAGCTTCTGTTTCTCCTGACTGAGGCTGGAGGAACAATTCATTCATGCACTGGTGTCAAACAGAGCCAAACTGCTGCCAGCTTCCTCCTCCAGGAGGAAGGGGCTCAGGAAAGATGCTCACTGCTGATCTGCTCAGTGATAAGGCACAGGGGACGTCAGCTGTTGCCAGGAATTGCTACACAGCTACAGCAAACCAAGGGCTCTGGGGCATCCTGGGCCTTCTTCCTCCTTTCAACGGACAGCAAAACAATTGGGAAAACTAATTTTCTGTGAAAGCCTGGGACATTTGAGAATAGGCATGTCACAGAAAAAGAGCTGGAGGAAAAGGCTTTACACAGAAGAAACAGAAAGGCAGAAGTTCTGATTAACTAAGAGAACTCTTGTGGAACTCAACACTAAATTATTTAAGGTTGGTAGAGAAAAAAGCCAAAACTCATCTACTAAGTTTATTAGAGTGTTAAAATTGTTTGACTTCAGTTAAAAGGATACAAGTCAGCCTGCAGTGGGAAGGACAATCCTGAACTGCCAAGGATCATCAGCTGAAGGAGTCATTAGGACCACATAAAGAGAAGAGGCCTAGCTTTGGGACAGCCAACAGCCTTTGAGTTGGCAAGAGAAAAAGCCTTTTTTTTGTTGTTGTTGTTGTTTTTGGTTTTTACTCCTGATGAGGAAGTTTGTACTTTAAATGAAGAAATGTCAAGATTTCACAGGCCCTGATCCTGCCCCTGGTTCTTACATTTGCATCCCCTTAAAGCATTTCTACCTGTATCCCACAAATGGTTTAAACAGCAATAATTAGAAGCATCATAAGAAGCTCTGCCTGTACTAGAGAGGCCCCAAAGCTCTTTCCAAACATCATCAGAGCAATAGGATGAGGCTGCTAAAGAATGGACTAAAGTGCTACAGCTGCACTTCTCCCTCAGCCTGAGGAGCCCTGTGTGCAGTCCAGGCTGAGTAACTACAGCAAACCATCATTACCACTTTGTGTTTCACCAGCCACAGGAATGCCCCAGCTCCTGCTACACCAGGTGTAAAGGCAGGGAAGCACAAGGCTATAGGAAGCCTTGCACACTGCAATTCAGGTCTGGTAAGCCCAACACAAGCCTGTACTAACCATGTAATTTTCTTTAGGTTTTGTGCAAATGTTGGTTTAAGAGGCACCTTCTGTTATGTTTTTACCTTTCAAGAAATTGATGATTTTCCCCCATTTCCCTGCATCAAAGGGGTGCAGCTTCTCCAGTCCCATGAAGGTGATGTTGTAGTCGGGGGAATACACAATGGGCCAGCATCCCAGAGGGGGGTCCTCGTACAGCTCTGTCCTGTGAGGCCTTGGCAAGCAAACACACACCAGTCACCACTTCAAAACACACTGACCACTTTTACACTGGAGGCCCAAATTACAAATTAGTCCTAATACCAACTTTACAATTCTTAAACATGGTATTTCCAACAGAAAAATTGAAACATTTGGTTCTCTCCCCTTGTCTTTCCAGACGTGTCAATCAGCACCTCTACCTTCAAAGGTGCACCCAGTTTGTAGACAACATAACCTTCATTACCTGCATGACTAGACTCCTATTTTAAATTCTGTATCAAAACACAAACCATGACGCTTCTAACAACAGAAGCTTGGAAAGATTTTTATGCTCCTTTCCTAGAAAGCAACAAACTATTTTGTGACCGTCTGAACAAACTAGTAAGCCTTAGGTTTTTATTTGCAGAGCACAGAACCAGGGACATGCTCTTAACTCCAGATGTCACACCTGTAACCCTTAACCAATACTTGCCTTAGCCTCCCCCTATAAATCATTGTATTTTCCCATCATCAGGAAACACAGCAGAGCCAGCTCACAGCCCTCCTTCACAAGCCACTCACAAACCCAGCAATGTTTATTAAATGCTCTGTGTTTACAAAGACACACACCAATTGTTTGTGGACGCCTGTGTGCACACGTGGGTCAGCAGGTTGAGAACCAAGGCTGAGATGGGATTCTGTGTTCACACTTAGCCTATTCCACCACCTGCTGGTTGCCTTCTGTGCCCCAAACGCCACCTCACTGAGTCATGCCGAGACCTCTCCTGCTCCCCGAAATGTAAAGTCTGGAAAAGGCTATGCAACATACTGTACAAGACACAAGGGTCTTTTGTCAGGTGAACAATACAAACAGAAACACCCTTATTTCCAGCCTGAACATGCTCAAAAATACCCTTTCAAAACCCTGAGAGAAGCAAGCCAAAGGAAACACGAGGACAATGGAGGCTTCTCCCCAGAACCCGCAGCCCGGTGCCTACACACCGCCCACGCTGGGAGCCAGGGCTGCCCAGCCCTTCCCTCGGCCTCCCCGCGGTACGAGGCGGGCTGGGACACTCCCGGCTCCGACAGCGGGGCCTGGAGCCTCGGCCCGTGGGGGCTGCGAACAGGGGCATTTCTGCGGAGCCCGGCGTGCTGGCGGCGGAACACCCCGTTCCCAGCAGGGCTCCCCATTCCCAGAAGGAAAGGACACCTCGTTCCCAGTGGGACTCCTCCCGCCGGGGCGGGGCGGGGCTGGGCCGGGCCGTGTCAGGCCGGGCCCGCGGGGGCTCCGGGCGCTGTCGCAGTCCCAGCCCGGCCCTGCGGCTCCGCGGCCCCCAGGCCGGACAGTGCAGGCCGGGCCCTCCCGCCGCTGTCCCCGGTCCCGGTCCCCGTGCCCCGCTGCCGTCCCCCGTGCCCGTACTCACATCCCCGCCTCCGCCGGGCCGCGCAGGGAAGGGCCGGCCCCGGCTCCGCCCGGCGCGGGGCGGGCGCACGGCAGCGCGGGCGGGGCCGGTAGCGGGCCCGCGGGCCCGGCCGTGCCGAAGTGCGCTGACACCGGCTTGTACGTGGGGTGGACGGGCTGTGCGCCATGGGCGGTGTAATAGAGCCCCAGACGGCTCTTGTCAAGGGAACTGGGAGGTCGCAGAACAAAACGCTGGTCTGATGTTGGGGGGTTATATAAACGCAGCGTCAAGGGCCTCAAGGCGATTCCGCACTAACGGTATCTTTGGATGGGAAGACACGATCCTCGCTGTACAATAAAATTAACAGTTCGTACCAATAAGTCCTAGTGGGTCTACAGCAAAATGAGGAAAGCAAAGGTGAAATAGCGATCCTGTCTAACAGCAGCGGAACTGTTGGTGCTTTTGACTGGTCAGGATTCACCCCAGGGACAACATCACTGAATTCAGGCACACAAGAAAAGAGTTTCAAGTCAAACCCCCATTTCTAAGCATTGTTAATTAATCCTGCTTGAATATTTACAACAAGCATTTCTTACACAGTTGTACAGCTAAATCAATAATATAATGAAAAATGGTCCATCAATAGGAGCAGTATCTATGAATCCTGGGATAAATACCCAGAAGCACTCTTTTTGCTGGAGGAGTAATGTCTCTTTGTGAGAGTCTCTGATAAATGTCTTTTTTCTTAAAATATGCTGGCTTTGGCTTGGCATTCAGTTTTGATGGATGCCTGGGCTTCACCTTGGTATTTATTTACCAGCAGAAGACTGTTACACCGTGAAAACATTCCATCGCCTTGACATTATCTTTTAATTAACATTTATTTTGTTCTGGTCCTTTGTGTGCTCACCTCAGTATTCCTCCAGCACATTTACCTTTTCTTCCTTGTTCCTGACTTCTTAGTACTTGGGACTTAATTAGAGTTTGAGTGTTTGGTTAACAATCTACAAACATAGCTTGTTAATGTTTTAAGCCCTTCACGGGGCTAAATTTCTACCATGTCCTTACTTCATTTTCATTTATATTATTACTTAAATTAAAAATCCACTGACAGTCTAATTTCCATGTTTCTTGGATGTCATAAATTTTTTTTGAACACTTCCAGGGATGGGGACTCCACCACTGGCCTGGGCAGCCCAGTGCTTGACGACCCCTTCCATGAGGAAATTCTTCCTAATACCCATCCTGGACTTTCCCCTGCACAGCCTGAGGCTGTTCCCTCTCCTCCTGTCCCTGTTCCCTGGGAGCAAAGCCTGACACACCCCCCCCTCTCCTGTCAGGAGTTGTGCAGAGCCAGAAGGTCCCCCCTGAGCCTCCTTTGCTCCAGGCTGAGCCCCTTTCCCAACTCCCTCACCCACTCCTGGGGCTCCAAAACCCTTCCACAGCTCCATTCCCTTCTCTGGACGTGCTCCAGAGGTCTTTCTTGTCCTGAGAGCCCACTGCAAGAAGTTGTGAAGTTCTCTGATGGTTAAATCCCTTGAACATGATGAATGGTGAAATAGGATAAGGGATTTTCCCTATCAAGAAACACTGAAATTATGGGCTAAAGCCAGTGGTAGCAAATTCATGCCACAAAGAAAGTTGGGACTCTGGAATACTGACATAACCTCTGGGTTACCTCATCCAGATGCAGCAGTGTGATGCCAAATTAAGAGTTGATGCAAACTCCCAGTATTACTTCCTTGAAAATTCCCACTTAGTGCCTGGAGCTGGAATCCCGCTGGAGTTGGGATAACCCTGATGGATCTGATCAGGCCTGACATGTGCAGCTCTCCTCCTCCACTGCACGGAGGCAGCTGAGCTACTTCCAAAGTAGCTGTCTCCTCTCTTGTCACGACAGCCTGTCCTCCGTAGAGGCAAAAAAGTCGTGTATGAATCAGCTCCTTGTGGTTCGGCTGTGAGATGCTAATTACACATCATTAAAGGGCAAGGCACCTTCAAGACTGACATAAAAGCTGTGTCACTAATAGTTTGCTTTCAAACCTCTTTGAGTTGAGGCTTTTGAAATAGGTAACATCAAGAAATCTGTCGATAAAATCAGGAATTAAACACTTGTAAAGAAACATATAGAAAGGGGATTTTTAAAATTTACACTGGAACTTGATTTTCCTGTAAAAAAATTTGAATAGTAACTCATTACATGAATTTCTACAGTAATAGAATTGGTGTTTTTCAAACAGGAAATAATATTTTGAGAGACCATGCTACTTTAATCTCTTTGATCCTGGGGCCTTTGATCTGCCATGGGGTGACACGACTGAGATCAGGCATTTTCTTTGGTGATGTGTTGAAAATGTGAAATTACTGATTCCTGTAATCCAGCAGAGCAGAAAAAGGTCTGTGCTTTTTATAGCTCAGAAACTGATACAGCTTTCTTCCCTTGCTCAGAGCCACTGGAAATGCAAGGCCTGAATATTCCTTAAAGATAAGATTCTTTTCCTTACAGTGTTATCTTCACTCTAATTAGCCTAAGGCCGTCTCCCTCTCTGAATTACACCTAACTGAAATCCTCACTTCTTAACGATTTGGCATAATCCACAAACCATTGCTCTGTGCCTTCAGTGCTGTGCAATTTTCAAGATGAGAGACGTGGGCTATTGCAACAGAATTCAGATGATACAAACCCCAGCAAGGGTTTTTCCAAAATAGTCTGTAAATGTCCATTTCAGATTCACTGGAGGGACTCTGCTCAGTGCCTTGAGCTGATGGCCATGGAGGAAGACATGAGACTTGATTTACTCTCAAACTCTGTAAACATCTGTTCTTTGACATATCTGACCTGTTGTGATCTTTAAGTGCTGTGATAATCTGAGTGATACTTAGTCTGTTTATAATATGCAAGTGGTGAAGTGCAATGCACATTTCTGCCCCACCTTTTCCAAATATATTCAAAATAAACACATTGACTCAGCTGATGGGAAAAGTGTAATAAACACTGGGAAAATGTTTAAAAGTTCACTATTATACTACTTAGACTACCAGGAAAACATTAAATCTCAGATTTCAGGACATTTTTTGTTTCTGATGGCTTCCTGCATCTTTCCCATTTACCATTGCTACACAAGTATTGGACTTGATGGAAATGGGGCTGGGGAGTGAAAAGCAGATTTACATTCTAAAGATATCACAGAATCCCAGACTGGTTTGGGTTGGAAGGGACCTTAAAGATCACCTCATTCCAATTCCCTGCCATGGACTGGGATGTCAGTCACTAAATCAGCTTGCTCAGGGCCTCATCCAGCCTGGTACTGACCACTTATAACCATGAGCAGGGACTCTCTGCTACCAGCAGCACAGTCCTCACTTGGAATGACTTGGAACACCTCTGCTGCCCCAAGAGAGGCCCAGGGCTCAGGAAATGAGGTGTGGCCTGTGGGAAGAACCAACATGACACAAAACATACTCAACATGTTTCTAAATCCATTACTGCTTTTCACTAGTTTCTTATTTCTGTGCCAGTTTTAGATTCATAAATTGCACTCTAACGATGCCTCCAGAGATGTCCTGGAGGAATTTCAGTCTTGGTGTTCACCTAAGCACAGCTGAGAAAGCAATGTGAACCAGTTCTAAAGAACCTGGAGTTATTCCAAGCTTTGGAGTTTCCTAAGCTCAAAACTATTTAGAAACTCCTTCAAAGGCCTTCAGCTAAAATTCCTCACCAGCCATGAGGTGTTCTCAGGTTTAGATAGGGATGTCTTGTGATAACCAGATGGGACATTTTACTTGTTCTCAACTATCACAGTACAATTCAGGCACAAATTATCAGATAATTGGCTTTATTTATTGACTTTATTACTACTGATCCAGAACTGGATGTAATGGTCACAGAAATTAGAGGGAAGAGACTGGATTCTGCCACAGTGCTTGCTCTGCTTTGTGCCCAGGACACTCTTGAGGAAGCCAGGGACCTATGAAGTGAAGGTGTATAGAAAGAAAAGGCAGCAAGAAAAGGAAGTGCCAAGGAGCCCGCAGCTCTGAGTAGCTACAGCAGGACTCTGGGCTGTTCTGGTGCGTGGCCAGAGGAGCTGTCAGAATCCACCCACAATCTGGTTGTGACACGTATTGCTGCATCACACTCCCACATGTGATTTGTGTTTATTTTCCTGAGAACAAGATAACATTTCATAGTTGTATTGCAATAAAAATTCCTACTGGTGAAGAACCATGAGAGAGATAGAAATATGCATATATTCATATATAAAAATAGTAGAGGTGGTATCAAGAAATA